CCCAATTCCGGTGGCGCTCTTCTAAAATCAGAATTTATATCTTAACCGCATCGGTCGTGTGATTAATATATGAAATCTTGGTCGGCATGCATTTGCCCATGGCTCATTGAGGCTCCCTATATAAAGATGTGGTCATATGGTCGTCACTAGTGGTGGCGCTTCTGGTGGCATTTGGTAAGATCAGTTGTGCGGAGACTGTCATAGTTAATTGAATATGAAATTTCCAGGGCACGTGAGAGAGCAGGTCCTCTGTAGCTCACATACCAAAATTCCGCGTTTGGTCGGTTGTTCTTGTGAGCGCCCCCTACAGGCTTTAAAATGCTCCGGCGCCACGTTTTCACCGATTATGTTACGAACTCGGTAGGCACGTGTAAGTAGTATCTGAGACGTACAAACAAAAGGCCTCTTGGACCCATACTCCAAACCGCCCGGGGATAGTCGGCCATTTTGATATTTCATTTCACTTTCGGTGAAATTTCGGCATCAAAGTTTGGCCACGGTGATCGAAAATCTCAAACTGTGATGTCATTTATGGGCTTCTGTTTCAAGGATTGACTCTCCTACATGATTTTATCAGATGACTTCCAAATTCGATTTTTTCCCCCCCCAAACTTGCATCTAGACAGCATTGGTGATTCAAAAGTTGTGCTTATTTGTGACTGTACGTATTAACAGCTGTGCGGTGATCGATACGTGTCGAATTCGCCGAAATTGTGCTAAACACTTCAGTACTATATATTCCAGTACCTAATGAACAGCATTCTCACAGCTTCCTGTACATCGGGTCAAATGTCATGAACTTCAACTGTATTGATAACATAGCTCCCGCCCTGACAACGTCTACATGACGATATTCAGAATCGGTGATAGCGGGCCACCTACTGGCAACAGTGAAGTAGCGCTGCATAGCGACACTTTTGTTGATTTACTTGAAATTTCATGGTTGTGGTCCGACGTGTTACGGAACGGCACGTGACGCGCCGCAGCCGCCAAGTTGCGTGGAGTGCGGGAGGCCCGCCACGGCTGCTCGCTGCTTGCAGCTTTAATTGATATTTGTTGTCCTATTAATTAATTTCCCCTAAACTTTTTTTCACATTTCTTGATTTGTTGAAGTTTTTTTGTTCGTAAAAAGGTTGAATTTAAATGAAGATGTCATATGTCAAGCTTAAGGCACTTCTAAAGACACTAGTATATTGCACTGCCTTGAGAAGCTTCCTTGTGCCGTGCAATTGGATCTGTTTTTTCTATTCATGTATCATGCATATTTCAGTATGCACAGCTTTTATCACATCCTTTCTATACAAACTCTTTCTCTATCAAGCTCTATTTCACTTTGAGTTTTTCTGTAGCTGATACTACTGCAAGCTGACTATGCTCTTGCACACTGCAGTGAACGGGCAAGAAGTGTGTGAATGTAGGTCAGGGGGATAGGATGTGTGGAGCGAGGCTGTGAGCTGGTTCTGATTTGAAGTGGTGTGTGTGTGGGGAAGCAGCCTTTCCATGTTGTGTCTGCTGAGTCTGATGAGTCACGCGAGTATGACGGTGAACCGAGCTGCGCTGCACTGTGCAGCAGTGCATTACTGACCTTCTCATCCTCAGTCATTCTGTTGTTCCCTCGAGCAAAGCTCTGCCCACCACTGCTTAGAGCCTCCGACCCGGAGACTCCTCTGGGTCACACTGCAGAAACACAGAAAAGGCCTCTATGAGTTTGGTCATGGTCAAACTGACACTGAAATGTCCCGTTAAAATGAACCCATCCAGCTACTCTCGATGTTTATTTTCAGATGGGTTGCAGATCATTTTGTGAAGAGCTGGTGTGAGAGAAACTTTTCACTCTTGTCCCCCGAGCTGCACAGAGCCTGTCTAATGGCTGTAACTGAAACCATGGTGAGTTC